GACCTGTACTGGTTCTGAAGACTTTTTTTTTTTTTAATTTGAAAGACAGAGTTACAGAGTGAGGTAGAGACAGAGAGAGAGGTCTTCCATCCGCTGGCTCACTCCCTAGACGGCCGCAACAGCCAGAGCTGCACTGATCCAAAGCCAGGAGCCAGGAGCTTCCTCCAGGTCTCCCATGACGGTGCAGGGGCCCAAGGACCTTGGCCATCTTCTACTGCTTTCCCAGGCCACAGCAGAGAGCTGGATTGAAGTGGAGCAGCCAGGACTAGAACCTGCGTCCCTATGGGATGCCAGCGCTTCAGGCCAGGGCTTTAACCTGCTGCGCCATGGTGCCAGCCCCTCTGAAGACTTCTTTATTTGAAAGGCAGAAAGAGAGGGAGAGAGGAGAGAGGGAGGGGGAGGGGGAGGGGAGAGAGAGAGAGAGAGAGAGAGAGAGAGAGAGAGAGAGGGAGAGAGAATCGTCCATCTTCTGGTAACAGCCAGGGCTGGGCCAGTCTGAAATGGGGAGCCAGGAACTCTACCCGGGTCTCCCATGTGGATGGCGAGCACCCAGCTACTTGGGCCAAATTCCACTGCTTTCCTAGCAGGAGCTGGGTCTGAAGTGGAGCAGCTGGGACTCGAATCCGGCACTACAGTATGGGATGCTGGTGCCCACGCAGCGGCTTAACCCACTGCGCCAGCACGCCGCCCTGCGCTCCTAACTCCACGGGTACGTAAGCGCGTGAGTGCTCTCTCCTGTCCTACACACCTCACCTCTTCTATTTGTTCTCCCAGGTCCACAGTCTATCACGGTTACCCTCGGGCTCTGCACGGCGAGACCCCGGCCACCTGGAGCAGCTCTGAGGGAGGGCGGGGGCCGGGGGGCCACAGGACTCAGTGCAAGGGTGTGGCAGCCACCGCGAGGACCAGGACAGGGGCCCACAGGACTCAGTGCAAGGGTGTGGCAGCCACCTCGAGGACCAGGACAGGGGCCCACAGGACTCAGTGCAAGGGTGTGGCAGCCACCTCGAGGACCAGGACAGGGGCTCATGGAGAGGAGCCCAAGGCCTTGGGGGCCTGGCAGGAGTGGACTGCAGCAGGGCTGGACGCATGTTGGGCCGGTCCCGGAGCCCACTGGGGAGACCAGGCCGCTTCCCGTTGGGGCTTGGCCTCTGGGGCAAACAGGGAGATGACCCCGAGAGTGCCCAGGCTGGGGAAACCTCAACAGGAACCATCGCGGTCCCCAGCACCCACCTCATGCACCACCCTGATCAATATCTGTCCATTTCTGATCAATATCTATTTCCAATCCATATCTGTCCTTTTCTGATCAATATCTATTTCCTATCAATAGCTGTCCTTTTCTCTCTCCATCATTTCTGGTCAGCATCTGTCTGCCACCCTAGGTCCCAGCTTCCTGGGGGCTGGGCCTGGGTCTGCCTTCCCGGGTCCCCACACGCCCAGACCCCAGCTCTGCTGCTGAGACCAGGGAGAGAAGCAGTGAATGAGCAAACGTCCTACCCCCACTCACATCCAGGGCCCAGCCCGGGGGCTCCCACAGAACAGGCTGGTCCCACCCCCACACATACATCCAGGGCCCGGCCCGGGGGCTCCCGCAGACAGGCTGGTCCCACCCCCACACATACATCCAGGGCCCAGCCCAGGGGCTCCCGCAGAACAGGCTAGTTCAGGGACTACACTCTGAGAACACTCGACTCGGATTCTTCGCACACTGCCTAGCCGGGGTGCCTTCAAGGCCAGGCCTGGGCTGAGGCCAGCGGGCGGGGCGGTCCACTTCTGACGTGATTCGGGTCCCAGGGCACTGCTCAGCCCAGCCAGCCTGTGTTGGGAGGTGAGGACAAGGTGGGGCCAGCTGAGGCGGGGCGGCGTGGATCTCAGCAGCAGAGTCCAGTCTGTTCTGGTTCCCCCCAGAGAAGCCCCAGGCACCACCCAGGTCCCGGGAGATGGGGCTTCAGAACCCCTTGGCCCCAAACCACCCCTCTTCCCTGTGAGCCCTGACATAGGGGCTGCAGGGCGGGGAAGCAGTCCTGACGCTCCACAGACCGGCTAAGGGGGACACGGACCCGCGCAGGGCTGCGGTGCACTGTGGGGCCCGGGGTCAAGACCTGTGTTGACATTCTGCTGTTTCTTTCTGAGGGTCTGAGCTGTGTGGCCTCAGGCAGGCATGCAGCCTCTCTGATCTTGTTTATGCTTGTTAACTCTGACACTCACTTGTCAGCGTGACAGACCTGAGTGAGCAGAGCCAGCTGTGGGACGGCCCTCACAGGAGCTCACCCAGGAGACCCGGCCTGGGACCCAGCCCACCCGGCTTCAGGCCAGGGTCCCCTCTACACACACTGTGCCGCTCAGGGTCAGAGTTTGCTTCCTTGCCCTGATCTGCTCTTGCAGGGAGGGGACCCTGGGGAGCCAGAGGGCCAGGCCCCCACCTTCACTTTGCACACAGCCTTGGCAAGTACCAAGACTCGGGGCGGGGTTCAGCCTTGGCCGAGACCTGCCCACTTCTAGGTGTGACCAGGGCCTGATGGCCACAGGGCCTCTTTCGGCACGTGGAGAGCCTGGCACAGCACAGAACGCAGCCCCACTCCTGGCCCCATGGCTTCTGTGCTCATGGATCCCCCCCCCCCCGGAATCCGGCCTCCTCCAGGCTACGGCCCCTCTCTGCTCTGTGTCCCAGCACCCACGCACTCAGCACGCACGGGGCTCAGGCGCTCCTGGCTCTGATGTGCAGGCTCAGCGGCGATGCACGGAGCCGCGTGGCCGTGCTGTGCCCTGCAGCTCCTCCCAGCGCAGCTGCCCGGTCTGCTCCCCTCTGCCCGGGAGGCTCCACCTTGCTCTCCGGCTCATGCAGCCCAGCAGGCTCCCCACGGGCCCAACGCCACCTCCCCACGCTGGGCCCTTGTCTGCTCAAGACCTGCTGGGAGCAGGTGTGCCCAGGGCGAGAGTGTAGGAGGAGCGAGGGGCCGGCCGTGGTGTGAGGCTTGGAGCTGGGGTGTCAGGCAGGACCTGGGAGACCAGTGAGGCACCTGCACTGCCCTGTGGAGCTGACGACGTGACACCACAGAGTCCAAAGCAAGCGGCACCAGCCGTCTGTCTGCCCCAGGGCTCTCCCCTGGGAGGCCAGGCCAGAGAGGGCAGCCCTCTCTCTCCCCACCAGAGGGGACCTGAGTCTCAGGCCCCTCCCCTTGCTCCCCCATCCCGCTCACTCCAGCCACAAGACAGGAAGGCACATCTGTTTTGGAACAGACGTGTTCAGAAGCTTTGCCCCCCCACTTCGGGCAGCCACACCCATTCCCACCTGCTGCGGGCGTGGAGTCACAGGTGTGGAGCTGCAAGGGGCGCCCACGCCACCCCTGCTTCTTGGGCCAGCTTGGAACGCCCTGCCAGTTGGCGGAGCAGCGGCCTCCAGCGGCAGCCTGGGCCTAAGCCCAGAAACCCGTGGACACCGCGCTCCCTGCTGTGGCAAGGGGACTGGGCAGATGTGGCCTGGGCGGGGTGGGGGGCCCAGACAATGGAGGAAGGTGGAAGAAGGAGCCACGGGCCTGGATGTGGGCCAGGCCAGGCCCCAGACTGCCCGGGGCCTCCGGGAGGCAGTAGGCCTGCTCACCTCTGGCTGCAGCCAGGGACTCTGGGGAATTTCTTCTCCCACCTCCCAAACCAGAAGCAAATGCACAGCTGTTGGCTCAAACACGGAGTCCGGGGCAATTTGTCACAGGAGCCACAGGAAATCCCCCCACCCCGCCCCTGGGCTGCTCCTGGGCCGCAGGAACCTGGCTGGCTCCTGGAAAAATCTGACTCATCAAAGCAGCGTTGCTCAACTGGACGGGCCTCGCCCACGGGAGAGCCGCTGCCCGCAGGGTAGGGTTTCAGGGGCCACAGAAAACATCGCCCCACCCCCACCCCGCCATCTGTGCCTTCTCAGCCGTGGCTGGAGTGCTAGCCGGGGACACCAGTGCCCAAGGAGTCTTCGTGGGGAGGCGCCAACCTGCACGGAAGCAGAGCTGGCGCCTGCATGGGGAGGGGGTGGCCCCGGGGCAGAAAGGGTCTGGGAGGGTGGCGGCAGAGGGAGGCATGCGTGCCTCACTCCTCAGATGGGCACCAGCCTGTTCTGCACCCCCAGCTCCCCCGCGCCACCTCGTCCTCGGCATCGGCACAGGTGCATCCTTGATGAGCAAACCCACCCCAGGGCCTTCCCACATCTACGCCTGGAGGGGGAGAGGCCTCCCCGGGGGTCTCCCCAGAAACGGGTGCCCAGCCCGCTCCACAAGCTGCGTCTACCTCCCCTCTCCCCAGGACTGGCCCAGCCCCCAGGGCCTCGCAGTGGGACTGCGTCTACAAAGGTCTCTGGAGAGGGGACTGGGGTCAGGCGGGGTCCTCATCCGATCTGACCAGCGTCCTCACAAGGAGAGAGGCAGGGCCAGTGTTGTACACCCAGGGGGACCACCTGGAAGAGGTGGCAAAGGGCAGTCAACAAGCTCCATCCGGGGCTCCAGCTCCAAAACAGAGGATAAACAGGTGAGCGCCACAGCCCCCAGCCTGTGGAGTCTGCCATGGCCACCAGAGCCCGCCCACACGCTGGCTCCTCCCTCAGGCTGGCCCAGATACCCCAGGGCACATCCTGGGGCACCAAGTGTCCGGTGAGAGTGACGTGTGCCCACAGCCACCAGGGGCCAGGCAGGCAGAGCAGTGAGGCCTGCAGCCCCCTGACCTTTTGAATTCCAACGTCCGAACACAGCCCGCCCACCTCCCTCCATGGCACTGCTCCCGCAGGAGCCCTGGTAAGGACTGAACCCCCGGCCCTCGGTCCCACGTTTCCACCTGCGTGTTGTCAGCACGGTCGCACCCCATCTCTCACCAGGTCAGTCCCCTCCCTAGAGTGTGCACAGCGCTACAGGTGAGCGAGACACCAGGCTGTGTCCCCAGCCCACCTGTGCACATCGGACACGGCAGGCAGCAGCCCCCAGCCCACGGCCACGATGGAGAGGGAGGCCACACTCTGCAGGCACCGCTCAGAGGGCGCTTTAATTGTGTCAAATGAACGAAAGGACAGTGTAACTGTCAGTCACTCAACATCCCGTTCACGACAGAGGGAACACAGTGGAACACAACCCGGTGCACGGTTGGTGGGGACCCACGCAGCTGCCAGGCCAGGTTGTGGGCCGAGACCCCTTTTTGCTTTGGTTTTGGATGGCAGGCTACAAGGCCACTGCCCCCAGCAACAACCTGTGCTGCCAACAAGAGCCGGCCCCGCCCCAGAGAGAGCAAAAGCGGCAGGCGTGGGCTTTGGAAGCCGCCCGAGAGGGACAAGGCGTCGGGATGGCGACGGTCGGCACAGAAGGGAGGGGCCTGTGGCTGTTAAAAGTGATCCGAGTAATAAACCAAATAATATTGGAACTCACACCTTCCGCAAAACTTCTGTAAGAAGCAGAATTACACCACGTGTTACCCACACGCTCGGGGACAGACGCGTCCCTCGCTGTCACTGCGGCTGGTGTGAACAGTTAAGCCATACGCTGGAAACAATGACTGATCGGCAGAGAAGTGAATCTATGACGGGACTGTGTCCAGGGCACAGGGCCTCGTAGCAACGAGACTGAAGGGGATCCACTCAGAGAGCACCCACACGTGCACACTCTGGGGTACAAATAAATACACACACACACACACACACTCACACACGAGGCTCGGGCCAGATTCCCCTGCTGGTTGCTGCTCCAAGTGCGGGCTACAAGAGAAAGGCGGGGGGCTGTCTTGGAAAGCGGGGTGCCCCGAGCACCTCCAGGGACACAGTCAGTGCTGACGGCCCCTCCCACCTCCCAAGGGGCCGCAGAACCCCTCCCCGAAGGCAGGGACGATGGCACTGGGATGAGACAGCTGAGCCCCCTCGGGATGCTCCCACAACCAGGGCCCGTCCGTCTCGGGCGCGCAGGCTACAGCCGAGGTTCGCATGTCCCCACTTCGGTGCACGGACCTCCACCTGAGAACGCTGGTTCCGCTGAGCGCGAAGCTGGGGCTGGGCCCAGGGAGCGCCCGCATTCTCTGCATCTTCCCCGTGACTTCCGAGAAACGCCAAGACCATCAGTCCATCCGGCCAAGCAGCCCACCACGCTGCCAAATGGCCTGGAAGTTCCATGACGAGCATGGCTCTCGCAGTCCTGTTCCCAATCCTGGCATCATGCGTTTGGCCCAGGCTTAGCCTGTGCACTGCTGCCGAATCAGTCACCACACCTTGTAGTTCTGTGAATGTGTACGGAGTTTGGGGCACAACGGGAGGGCGGCCCGCCGGAGCCCGCGGCTGCCCAGACCCCAAGCCTACAGCTCCTCCAGCTCTGACTGTGAACGCGCGAGGACGGCTTGGGTTTCCACAGTGTCCACCAAGCGTCCGATATTTTGGGGTTGCTCTTTCTGGCATTAACAGTGAGACAGGGAGGTGGGACTTGCCCGATGCAGGGAGCGGTCTGGTTCAAACGCGTTCCTGTTCTGGGGGAGCCCAGTCTACAGAGGCTGGGAGGGGGTCAGAGGGAGGCGCGTGCTGCCCCCAGCAGCAGAGCCGCCTGGGCTCGTGTCCGGACAACAGAACGGCTGGCTGTGGAGAGGGGGAAACACTGAGGAACCCGTTCTCGGGGGGCTCTCGGTTCTCTCCCAAAGAGGCCAAGGTTAGCAACCCACCGGGCTGCGCGGTGCCTGTCCTGCTAGCCTTGGGGCGGGGCCTCTGGCATGCTGAGTCCTCGGATCCAGTGACTGTCGCCTGCACAGGGGCCGTCCCCCAAGGCCCTCGGAACCTCCCAGGGAGGCAGAGTCTCCCACGCGCTCTGATGCAGGGCCCGTGGCGGGGCTGGACATCACAGAGGAGACGCGAGACGGTGCCGAGGCGCCGAGGGAGGCGGAGGCGGCTCCAGTCACAGGGGTTTCTCCACGCTGTGAGGGGAACAGCTCCCCATCAAGAGAGTGTGCTGAAACCATGGCGCCGGTGGTGAGGCGGGCGGGGCGGCCACAGGGGCAGCTCTCACGGCGTCTTCCAGGCGAACGCCTCGTCGGCCAGGACCCGCGCCAGCCTGGCGTTGAACGGCCCGTAGAAGTCCTGCAGGATCTTGTGTGTGACCGGCCACATGGGCCCCAGGCTCCGGTCCTCGGGCCGCCGCACGTTGGACGCAGGGCTCTTGGTCAGTAAGGCCTCCTGCTTCTCGCTCAAGGGCCCTGGAGGAGGAGGAGAAGCTGTGAGGGGGCAGGGCAGGCAGGAGGTGGGAGGGAGGCGGCTGCGCAGCCGGCAGCTCGCTTCCAGGAGGACTGGAACCCGGGGAGGTCCCCTGCCTGCGCTTGGCCCCTCGGGTCCCGGCAGCCATCCCGGGACGGGGCAGCACCCACCTGGGCTCACAGAGCCACTTTCCGTGGCTGTCAGCCAGGCCGGGGGCTTCGATGCTCTGCTCAGCCCTGCTCAGCTCTGCCCCAGTCCCTTCTACCTCCGTGTGCTGCCACAGGGGGCCCTGTGGTTGGGCCATCTGCACCCTGTGTGCCATGGCCTTGGCGATGAGGGTGGGGAGGAGGCCACCTGCGCCCACGCACAGAGCCTTCTAGCTGCATGGCCACCTGCAGCAAGGCCAGGCCCGTTGCAGGCCAGCTGGGCTCCTCTCTGGCAGCGCCTGGGAACCCTGTCCACACGGGCAGCGCCCCAAGGCACACACGACTCTGCCACCAGCGCTGTGGCGGGCAGCGTGGCTGTCAGAGCAAAGTGCCCCTGGGGACTGGGGCATCTCAGGCTAAAGGCAGGCTCCTCACTCACAGAGGCCCAGGAGCCACGGCCAGCTCCTTCCCCCCTAAGCCCCCAGTTCCCTGCAGGACCCTGCCCCCCATGGACATCCTGTGGGTCCCTCACAGCTCAGCTCTCAGACACTTCCCGTCCCCGGTCCGCTCGGCAGTCATCAGTACGTGCCCACTGTGACGGTGCCCCCTGCCTGTCACCAGGTTAGTGGAACTGCAGCTTCTTTCTCTCCTGCGGCTAGATGGTGAGCTCCTCCTACCCAGAGACCCTCACCACACCGTGCACCAAGCCCCGTGTCAAACAAAGGTGCTGAGCCGGCCTCCCCTGGGCTGTCCCCGGGCCGCCCGCTCAGCAAGCCTGTGTCAGGCCCAGAAGTGCTCCCAGAACAGCCGGCGTCCCCGGGGCTCACACCGTGCCCATCAGCAGGAAGCAGGATGCTTACCCAGGTTCAGAAACCGGAAGACCTTGTGCATGGTGTACTTGACATTGGAGGCGTGGTCTTCCAGGCGCAGGATGAGGAACTGGTCCTTACTGAAGACGGTGAGCCAGTCCAGGAGGTACACAGCATACAGTCCGACCTGCAGCCTCACCTAGGGCCGAAGGACAGGGGCACTGTGTCAGGAGCGGTTTCCCAACACCCGATGGCACTTCTCCCGAAGCATCATGGCTGCCGTCACAAACCAAGACAGCCGCCCTGCAAACCATCATCTCCAGGCACTGCATGGACTTGGAAGTCAAAAAAAAAAAAGCTGCTCTGACTTAGAACAGTGATTACGAGCGGCTGGGGGGTGGGGACAGAGGGAGGTTGGACAATGGGTGCTGGAACACAACTGGAGTAGCAGTGCTAAGTTCCGGGGCGGGCACTTCATGGATTGCTCAAGATGTTGCTGGGGGGGGGGGGGGTTGCAGCCCACGTCAGGTGCTGGGTTCAAGTTCAGACTCCACACCCAGGGTGTGGAGCACACCAGGGTGCTAATGTGCACCCTGGGAGACAGCAGGGTTCTCAAGTACTTGGGTGCCGGCCACCCATGACGGAGACCTGTACAGGGTTCCTGGCTCTCAGCTTCAGCTGCTGTGCTCATTTCGGGGTAAGCCAACAAATGGATACTCTCTCTTTTCTCTCTCTCTCTGCCTCTCTACCTGTTTAATAAATATTTTAAATAGTAATAAGTACAGTAGAGTAGCTATAATCCTTAACAATGCATTTTAGTCTGTATGAAGAACTGGGGGCCAGGGCTGTGGCGCAGTGGGTAAAGCCACTGCTTGCAGTGCCGGCATCCCATATGGGCGCCAGTTCAAATCTCAGCTGCTCCACTTCCCATCCAGCTCTCTGCTATGGCCTGGGAAAGCAGTAGAAGATGGCCCAAGCACTTGGGCCCCTGTACCTGGGCCCCTGCAGCTGGGTGGGAGACCTGGACAAAGTTCCTGGATCCTGGCTTTGGATCAGCCCAGTTCTGGCTACTGCAGCCACCTGGGGGGCAAACCAGCAGATGGACGACTTCTCTCTCTGCCTCTCTGTAATTCTGCCTTTCAAATAAACAAATAAATCTTTAAAAGAAAAACTGGAGAACAGGAGCTGTACAGGAAAGGCAATGGAAGCGCTAACTGCTGACTTTGATCAGTTTCTGGTGCCTGCCCCATCGCGATGACGACTGTGCACCCTGAAGACAAACCCAAGTCACCCACTCGGACTCCTCCTTACCTCCCTAGTCCCAGGGCAGGGTAGGGAACTGAGATAGCAGAGCAGTCTCGGGGCAGGTGCCCAACACACTGCAAACCAGGGCCTGGGAAACACAACCGCCCAGGGAAGGCAGGGCCTGCTGGGCTGCACAGATGCGGGGGAGAGAGAACAGAAGGGGGGGATTAAAGCAGAGCCTAGAGGTCCCAGTGGCCCCGCAGAGGGAGGGGGAGCCATGAAAAGGCCTCAGAGCCCTGGTGGTTCCCAAAGCTGAGCCCGCAGCACCCCCTGCAAGGCCTGCTCAGTGGAGGCCGGGGCCCCACCCACAAGAGTTCTGATTCAGAAAGGCGGGAGAGGGGCCCGAGAGTTTGCATGTCTCACAAGTGCCAGGGGCTGCTGCTGCTGCTGGCCCAGCGGCCACTCTGAGCCCCTGCTTGGAGGCAGGAGCGGAAGACCTAGGAGGGGAAGACAGCCACACAGCAGGCAGGGGTGGAGGGAGGCACAGGAAGGCTGGGGGGAGGAGGGCTGGGTATGCCAGGGTCCACGTGTGTCTTAAAAAGCCCCCCACTCCCCTCCACCATGGGCTATGGCTGGGAAGGGTTCACAGCTGGGGGGGACATCTGCTTCCCATCCCAGACAAGAAGAGGCAACGCTAGGACGAGGGGGTCCCACTGCATCCTGTCTGCCCCACCCTGCCCGTCAGCATGAGCTCTCCAGGGACTGCCCGCAGCCATGTCCCTCCAGGGCTCTCCCTGTGGCCAGAGGCACCTGCTAAGCCCCCGCCTCATCCTGCCTAGCAGAGAAAGCTGATCTGAAAAGCACCTGCCTCCTGCTGGCTTGGGAGGCAGCCAGGGAAAATGGGTTCCCAAGGCCATTGGTGCTGGGCCTGCACCCTGGGCCTGCCTGTCACTAGCTCCAAGTGGCAGTTAACCTCTGTGTGCCTCAGTGTCCCCATCCGCGAAACGGGGGTGGAATTAGCAGATCTGGGAGGACCGAAAGTGCTTGGGTCAGTGCCTGGTTAGATCACTCCCCTTCTCTCACTGGTGGGGTTTTTAAAAATCTGATGATCAGGAAGTTTCAGACACACACAGAGTGGAGACAGTATCGATGACACTCATGACCTTGACATCGGGGCTCAAGGACGTTCTGATGGCCACAGCTAGCGTGCCGACAGGGAGCAGAGGAAGCAGCTGTGGAAACCCCGCCTCCAGGTAGCCTACACCCGGCACGCTCGGCCCTGTGGCACCACGGGTGGCAGGGGGAGATGTTGGGGCCTGGCCCACGCGAGTTTTTATCACCGTCACTCTTCAAAGCGGTTAGGAAAAATGTTGCGCAGGCTCAGGGGCTCCATCCTGTCTGGCCTCTCCCTGCCCTCCCAAACCCAGCCCAGCTTAAGCCGCCTCCTGCTAGGAGTCCCCCTGATGCCAAATTAACACCTGTTCCTTCTCAGAGACCCTGTGGTCAACAGGGCCTGGGGCGGGGTTCTAGCCCCCTGGCCTCCCCATGCTCCCCCTAGCTGGGCCCCTGCCTCTCATAGTGCCCATTCGCAAAGGAGAGGCCTTGCATGGAGGAAGCTGTCAGCAGGGACAGTGTGGTGCAGACACTGAGGCAGGGGGCACAGGGACCCCCTCCACACTCAAGCCCACTCAGCACCTGTCTCTTCGACCCCCAGGCCTGCTCCCTGGTGGGGGCACAACAGCTCCTAGGGACCGGATTCCTGGGGAGACGCGGGACCAAACCCGTGCCTGCAGGAAAGTGGGTCGCAGCCAGGATTTCGGTCCCAAATCCTCCAGGAACTGGCGAGGGCTGCCTCTCGGAGGCTCAGTTTCCCCAGATGTAATCAGGAAGCCCCAAGCCTGGGAAGGCCTTGCTGGTGCTCAGGCCATCCCGGCTGCAGGCCTCGCTCCCCAGCCAGCCAAGGAGCAACACTTTCGACCCCTTGACGAGCTCTGCCTGGCAGCCCCCATCTGCCAACAGGCACGTGGGCAGAGAAAGGTGGCAGGAACAGGGTCCCTCCAGTCCCGGTCTTCCTCCTTCCTGCGTTTTCCTGGGACATCTCCTGCCGGATCCAGCCCCGGAGGAGCCCACCCCGTGGCCCCCGGGTGAGTCACATCACCATTCCCCCACTGAGGGAAACACGGTCCTGCACCCAGTGCCCGGGAGGCACCGGAGGCCTCGGCATGCTGCACTCACAGCTCAGGATCCCCGACGCCTTCCCGAATGTGCCCTGCAGGAGCCAAGTCAAACACGACGGTCAGCAACAGCCACACAAGCGACCCTCCCCAGGCTGCTGTCACCCTCGGCGCCTCTGAGGGCTGTGGCCACCCCACCAGGGGTGCAGGGGGCCTGGGGAAACTGTCTCTTTGTGTGGCTCGGCCCGCACAGCCCTCGCCCAGCTCCATGACCCAGGACAGCTCTCAGCTGGACTCGGGCCTGCAGCCCTGTGCAGGTGCAAGCCGGGCCTGGGATGGAGTGGCAGGCGGGCAGCCCCTCCTGGGCCTCAAGCTGCTCCCTGAACAGTGGTCGCTGGGCAGTGGGACAGGAGCCCTGGCTTGGTGGCTGCAGACAGGGTGTGGTCAGGGCACTGAGCACAGAGTGGTGCCCAGGGAATGCCTGGAAGATGACCGAGTGTCGGCTATGGAGGAGGAGGAGGCCCTGGTTCACGGCATACCCTCGGGCGGGTCCCGCCTGAGTGACCTTCAACCGCAGGCATAAACAGGAACAATAAGCAGCGTTAAGAGCCAGGACCACGGTGGGCCCCGCGTGTGCTCAGCCTGCGAAGCAGAAAACCTGCGCACGCAACTGGTCTCCCCCTTCCCCCCCAGCTCCCCCACTCCAGCCCACCCTCCAGGCCTTGTCCCGACCCTGGGCCACTACGCTGACCCAGCCACTGGCTCTCCTGCAACACCCCCCACCTCCCTGCTCCTGGGAGCCCACCACCCCTCAACCCCACCCCCACCAACCCAACCAGCACCGCTGTCCCAGGGCACACCTGCTCCAACCACCCCAGCCCGAAAGTCGGCCCCTGGCCAGCAGAACAGCAGAGGCAGGAAGTCACTCGCTCACCCTCATGATCTCCACGGGAGCAGGTGCTGAGACCCTCAAGCCAGCGGAAAGGAGAGCCCTTCCCCAGGGGCCGGGGGCACGCGACGCTCTGGGTCATGGCCACCGCACCCATCCCCGCCCTGGGCTGCTTCTGCTCACTTGCCATTTAAGGCACCTGTGTCCCAGCAAACTCCTTTCACACATTCGCTTTCCTCCAGAAAATCGATTGTACGATTTCTGCAGCCATGAACCTGACAATGAGCAGGAGACCGTCTTTCTCATCAACACCCACACTGCTGGGGCTCAGAAAACAACGCCCCCAAAAGATGGGGCTTCGGCTGGGGAGAGGCTCGGGGGCCCCCTCCGAGTCCAGGCCCACCCCCCTCTCAGTGCGAGAAGTTTTTTTCCACCAAGTCCCCTCCACCACTGCCAGGATTCACCGAGAGAGAACCACCGTGGCCTCCGGCTTCCTTTCTGGTTTCATTCTGGAAACTCACGAGGCCTAGAGGGAGCTTGCAGCCCCAGCACCTGCACCGATGCTGCCACATACTGGTGCCCTGTGTGCAGCCCACAGGGAGCCACGGCTGCGCCACTGCCTGCCCCGTGGGCCCGGCACACCCTAACTCAGGCCACGGCATGAGGGAACCTGGGAAGGTCGTGGGACCCACCACTGTCCGATCCTCCCGGGAGCCTGGTGAGGGTGAGGCAGCTGCACCTCAGAGAGGCTGAGACAATGCCTGGGGTACAACCGCTGTCTGGCTCAGTCAGCAGCACAGCTGGGCTCTGTGGTCATCCGTGTCCGTGCCACCGCTTCCTTGCCAAACTACAAAGTCTGGAAGGACAGCCTGGAGTCTGCCCGCTGCGTGTGTGTGCCCTGCTGTCCAGATAGATGACCAGGAAGAGGAGTGAAGCCTCTTGACCTTGAACCCCATCACCCTCCACAGCAGGTCTGCTCATGGCTTACCATGCACCTGCCCCAGGCTGGGGGCAGAAGGGACAATGCTCAGAGACCCTGCCAGGCCGGCACTGACCACAGCCTGGGGGCAGAGCAGAAGAAAATCCTCCTGTGGCTAAAACATGCCAGATCCACCAACAGGGGTGGGGGTTTGGGGGCATAAAAACAGGCTAGAAATGTAGCGATATATGCCCAAAGGGACACAGAGAAGACAGAGGGAACCGCGGAAAACAGGAGTCCTTTTCAACTGAGACGCTGTGAAGAAGCATTGATGGTCTCTCTGGTGGGCGATTTTTTAAATCAACAAACAACCCGGCAATCCAGAGAAGGCTCGTAGGGCACTCGGCCAGCTGCGTGTGCAGATTCTAAGGGCCGGGTGTGTTTGGGAGCCTTACTAAACGATGACCTTCCCACACGTGTTCTCCTTCTCTGGGCGAGGGAGGAGACAGCCTGGTGACTGGGCGAGAGCAGGGGGCCAGCTCAAAGGGCCATCAGTTTCCCGTCCCTCTGCCTGGGGATATTTGCTTCTGTGTCAGCCACGGCTCCGAGGCTGGCGCCTGGCGCCTGCACACTGAAGCACCCCTGGGTGCTTCCACCCACGACAGCTCCTGCATGACAAAGGGGGGGGCCGGGTGTACGCACAGGCATGGCGTTGTTGAGGGTGTTGTTGTAGACACACGCACGCAGCGAGTAGTCCAGCATGCAGTTCTCAAACAGCTGCAGAGCTTCGGTCACTTTCTCGTGGAAGTCGTCAGCAGACTTATTGGAACTCGCGAAGTACAGGTAGTCTGAGTACAACCTGTGGGTCAAATAAATGGGTCTTCACCACGTGTGGATGCGACAGTGCCATGCGGTGACAGCGAGAATCACCTGCACTTAACTTGCCGAGGGCCGCCCGTTAAAACGAACGTTTCTCTCCCTTGCCTTACACACGAGCCACCTCCCACCCTCCTCCCTCCCAGGCTTCCTGTGCCCCCCACGCTCTCCTGGACTCAGCCGTGTCTACACTGGCCCATCAGGGTGGGTTTCTCATTCTCTCCAGACATCACAGGAAGCTTTGGAACAACCCAGATCACACACACACACACACACACAACATGCAACAGCCAAGACAGGCAGTGCAAACTTTACGCTGTGGAGGGAATAAAGGCAGGTGTGTGTTGCAGGGGTGTGGCTCCACGGGAAATTCCTGAACATCCCTGATGTCTTTCTGGATTGGCAGGAACCCCTTCTCTCACACAATGTAAAACACCCCCAAACACCTGCAGGCGGACGCGCACCCCGACTGCGATCTGTCAGGGAATCTGTTCGCTCGGACAAGGATCTGTTCCCCCAGACACGGCTCTGCCCGCACAGACACAGCCACACACAGGTACCAACGCCTTCTACAGGAGCTGACCCACATCCCTGAGCAAACCTACTTCTGACTTGCCATCTTTGCTCACCCCATTTTAGCAAGAATCCTGCTATTAGATAAAATGCATGGAGGCCATTGTTCTGGACTGAGCTCCTGCACTTGCCCCACCGGACCAGAATGGAGCCCCTCACGCCGGGTGCCAAGTTTTCAAAGCGAGCTCAGAAATGGGCAAGTTCCCTAAAACACAACAGACACCTGCTACCAATCAGAGGGGGCCCGGTCAGGCTGGATAGGAAGCCCCTCTGCTGAAGCCGGAGAGGAAAGTAACTCCAGTTAAGCCACGGCCTGCAGCACCGGCATCCCATCTGAGTGCCAGTTCAAGTCCCAGTTGCTCCACTGCTAATGTGCCTGGGAAAGCAACAGAAGATGGCCCAGGTCTTGGGCCCCTGTACCCACATGAGAGACCTGGAAGAAGCTCCTGGCTCCTGGCTTCCACATGGGCCAGCCTGGGTAATCGCAGACATTTGGGGAGTGAACCAGAGGATGGAAGATCTCTCTGTCTTTCCTTCTATCTCTACAGCTCTGCCTTTCAAATAAATAAATCTTTAAAAAGAAAGGAAGGAAGGGAGGAAGGAAGGAAAGAAGGAAAGGCCGGCCGGGGGGCTGCCCTCCCCTGCCCACAAAGCCCCCTTCTCTGTTCCTCTCCCAGGAAACCCCTCTGCTACTGCCCCTGGTTCACACATCAAAGAGCAGCCAACCCGATCTCTAAGCTGAATGTGTTGTATTTTTGTGTTTCAATGCTGCCACATTGGCTCAGCCCAAATCCCCACCTGATCACCTTTGACCTTTCACCTTCCACCTTCTGCCAAGTTCCTCATCACTAGCCCCTCCAGGTGGCATCCGGCCACCTGGCCTGTCTTCATCACAAATCCCATTCAGTTGCCTTAGCCAGAATCCTTTTCTTTTTAAAAGATTTCTTTGTGGGCCGGCACTATGGTGTAGTGGATAAAGCCGCTGCCTGCAGTGCCAGCATCCTATATGGGCGCCAGTCCAAATCTTAGCTGCTCCACTTCCCATCCAGCTCTCTGCTGTGGCCTGGGAAAGCAGTAGAAGATGCCCCAAGTGCTTGGGCCCCTGCACCCATGTGGGAGACCCGGAAGAAGCTCCTGGCTTCGGATCAGTGCAGCTCCAGTCATTGCGGCCATCTGGGGAGTGAACCAGCAGATGGAATACATTCCTCTCTCTGTCTCACCTCTCTCTGTGTAACTCTGCCTTTCAAATAAACCTTTAAAAAAAATTTACTTGAGGGGCCGGCATTGTGGCATAGTGGGTTGAGCCACCACCTGCAGGGCTGGCAGCTCACATGGGCGCCAGTTCATGTCCCAGCTGCTCCACTTCCAACCCAGCTCCCTGCTAATGCACCTGGGAAAAGCAGTAGAAGATGCCCAAGTGCCTGGGCCTCCTGGCTTCAGCTTGGCCCAGCACTGAATGTTACAGCCACTTGGGGAGTGAACCAGCAGATTAAAACCTCTCTCTCTGTCTCTCCCTCTCTGCGACTCTGCCTTTCCAATAAATCTTTTTAAATAAATAAATAAAGATTTATTGGAGAGGCAGAGTTACAGAGAGAGGGAGAGGGAGAGACAAAGAGACAGATGTTGTACTTCCTGGTTCACTCCCCAAATGCCCACAACAGCCAGATCTGGAGCAGGCCAAAACCAGGGGTCAGGAACTCCACCCAGGTCTCCCACCTGGTTGGCAGGGCCCAAGCACTGGGCCGTCTTATTCTGCCTGCCCAGGTGCATTAGCAGGGGGCGGGGGCGGAAGCGGAGCAGCCGGGACACCAAGTGGTGCCGATGGGCGAGCACAGCATCCCAGGGGCGGCCCGCCTGCTGCCCTCTAACGCTGGCTGGGGCTCTTCCTTCTGCGCTGCTTCCACTGGAAGACTAAGCAAGACTTCCTTTCCTTTGGTTTCTTTCTTTTTTTGAAGATTTATTTATTTGAAAGGCAGAGTTAGAGAGGCAAAGGCAGAGAGAGAGAGGAAGGTCTTCCACCTGCTGCTTCACTCCCCAGATGGCCACAATAGCCAGAGCTGGGCCGGAGCTGTTTCCCCTGCACTCCTCGTGCACACAGAGCTTCCTGTGACTCCCCCACCCCCACCCCATCCCACCCTGGCTCTGCCTGACGCCCTTCACACGCACACAGCCCCCAGCTATGCAGCTATGCAGCCGGCACCCCCCGGGCTGATAGGAACGTGGCCCTGGGCTCCATGGACTCGCACTCCTCCCTCCGCTCAGCTCCGTACTTCCCCTCCCTCGGCGTCTCCAGCCTGGCTTCCCTCCTTCCGTGAAGGCAGCTCCGGGGACCTCAGGATGCACCGTGCGTCTGGGGGATTTTACGTCTGTACTGCCAAATGCACCCGGTGCTTTGGTGCTGGGCTCAGCCACACACCCCTGCAGGAGCACAGTCCCCCTGCTGCTGAGGCCTGCCCACAGCGCTCCTGCCCTCCCCTGCTTCTGGCCTCCAGTTACGGCCAAATATCACAGACAGCAGACCTGACCTGCCTCCGGATGCACCACTTGTCCCTGTCCTGTGACATACCCCTTGGGGTTTCATCCACGGCCAACGTCAGGGGACACCTCTTAGACGACTTGAAGGTTGGGCTCTGGCCCGAAATGGCCTGGAACTGGATGCCCTGACCATCTCAACCTGCTCAGCTAAGCTCTCCCGGACTTGCCCCAAGCCTGGGGGCAGCCGCGGGCCCAGCTGCAGGCACATCCCCACAACCACCTCCCTACTGGTGCCCCCAACACTAGCCGGGCTGCTGGGCACGCGTCCAGACTGTCACTGCAGGTCGGTCACGGCTGGCAGAACCCAAACACTGCCCGATACATGGCAACACCAGAATGGACCTCCAAGGGCAGTGCGGCTGCCCCGAGGCCACCTGCCTGCTGCTCTGCTGGTCTCCCCTGCATCCGGTCAGTGGCATGGCTCAGGATGTCCAGGGACAGTCAGAGAAGCTTCTCGAACTTCGCAAGAAGTCCAGGCCCAGCGCGAGCGCCACGGATGCTGCAGAGCCATCCCAACACCGTTTGCGGAGCTGGGATCCCGTCACACGCGTCGCCTCCCACAAATGCAGGATTCCCAGGCTGATGCTGTTCCTCGTGGTGGCGACCACGTTTCTGCGGCATTGGACCATCAACTAAACACGAGCGCCGAAGCCTGCCTCAGTTGTACTGATTTGTTTCACTTGACAGGCAGAGATAGAGTGACAGGCCAGGTGGGAGGACAGAGGCGGGGACCTCCCAGCTACTCGCTCGCTCCCCAAATGCCTGCAACAGCCCGAGCTGGGCCAGGCCGAAGCTGGGAGACAGGAACCCAATCTGGCTCTTCCACGTGAGGGGCAAGGGGCCGTCACCTGCTGCCTTCCAGGGTGCACGCCAGCAGGAAGCTGGACTCGGAAGTGGAGCCAGACGCACACCCAGGCATCCCACGTGCGATGCAGGCATGCCGAGCAGTCTCACCACTGTGCCGGTCGCCTCCTCTCTGCCTCAGTTGAAACACAAGGCAACCTCACGGAGGACCTGCTGACTCCACACAACTCTTTAGCAATCAGGAAGTAATCTCTGGGGAAGATGCGGTTGCGTCTCCCGGAGCAAGGACACCCCACGCAGATGAGAACACTGATTCCGCTCTGATGAGAGTGCAGAGAGATAAGCTCAGCTTTTGGAACCAGGACAGGCCGCACCCCTGCAGGTGAGAAGGGGCACCTCGCCAGGCACCGTGGATCTGCCCACAGAGCGGGCCCTTGGCTTCAGGCATGCCCTGGAGCCCTGCTGCTAGAACCCAGGCTGGGGGCCTCTTCACACCTGCTTTGTTGGCAAACTGCTTGGACCCCCCTTGACAAATGGCCACCTTGTCCTGTGTGTGTCCTGCACGTGACTGAACAATGTCCCTGCCCTAAGATGTCCAAGCCCTAACTGCTGGTACCTGTGAAGGTGACCTTGTGTGGGACAGGGTCTTGCAGATGCAATCAAGGCAAGGATCTTGAAATGCGATGGTCCTGGATTTGGGGGTGGGGTGGGGTCCTAACCCATGGACTGGAATCCTTGTGGAAGAGGAGAGGATGCAGACACGGGAGACACCAGGAGAAGACAGGGGCAGAGACTGTGGCAGCGCACCCGCAAGTCGAGGGAGAGTGGCCAGGAGCAAGGGGCGAGGACGGAACGGCACCTCCGTCAGAGCCCCCGGGGGAGGCAGCCTTGCGGAGTTCCGGCGCTGGCCCCCACAGAACAAACTGCTGCTTCGAGTCGCCAGGCTTGTGGCCATCTGTGACAACAGCCCTGGAAAGCCAGACCAGAGCCGACCAGAGTTCCTTGAGACTCCAGGGAAGACGAAGCTGTTGTCAGCACCCGTCTGCCACCCCAGGACCCTGGAGCAGCGGC